AAGCCTTAGGGAAGATAGATGTCATTGATGTCAACAGGACCTGAAGTCTGTGCTTCTACTGCTGTAGAGAAGGTGGTTCTGTTGGGTGTCCAGTGAGATTGGTACACCACCTCTGCCTCTTCAAGGTCTTGATCGAGATTTTATTCCGCTCGAAAGATCTGCTCAGGAAGCACGCGGAGCATCCAGTTTAAAGCAAGTTTGGCGCTTGTTCGAGTTCGACCCTGCAATGGCCTCCAACAGATTAAGCACAAAGCTGTGCAACAAGTTGTTCGTTTTTCATATGCCACATGCCTATGCATGCAACTTGGGCGATGAACAATCCAACCACCGCCTATAGCATGACACGGCAAATCACGTTCTTGCTCCAAAATAGATAGACACTGATTGACACACATACATTTTTTTACATCCACTTAGAAGTCCTTGTGAACTGCATCCAAGTTGTATACCTTTGGGTCAGATCACATTCACCAGGATTGGCCCAACCCACGCATACGCATCGGAACTGCCGACATCGGGCGACCCCGCCTTTAAACACCAACAGTGATAACCCTTTCACGAAACTTGGCAGGCTCGCCGGCAGTGTCCCTGCCTCAATCGTGTCGCCCCTTTTGTTGGGCTCCTTTGACAACAGCTGCAAAAGCACAAGGGTTCTTTCCCGCACAACACCTGTTGACATGCCCGTTGAACCCACGGCGTTGTGCCTGGAGGACGAAGCAGAGCCAGCGCAGCACATGAAATGAGCTCATGTGGTGCCTGCCCTAACGGTGGCGAGTTTTGGATGAAATGATCGGTCAAACCAGCGAAACGTGGTTTTTCCTTTTTTCCCTGCGTGGTGAGCGTCGAATTAGATGTATTTGGAGTCTCCAAGTACGGTAAGAATGTGTCAGGATCCAAAGCAGAAGGTATCCAGGTATTTGCCCTTTGAGCGTGCGTCAAGGATCATCTGTAAACTACTACTAGTAAATAGATGTGGTGACTAATTAGTTTTACAAAACTAGCTGTGATGACTCTTGGACTGCTCAGCAAAGCAGAATTGCTGAGCTAGACCTTGTGCCCCAGTGACAGGCCCAGCGACTGGCCCCCAGCGACTCCGCCATGGGCGCCGGTGCCAGCGCCAGCAGTGCGGGCAGTATGGCAGAGGAGCCGGACGATGATGCGCTGCTGAGCTTTCTTGGTGAAGACGTGGACCGCGCGGAAAGACTTCTGAGCCGGGCAGAGCGTCTGATGCTACTTGGGCTCAAGAGGAAAACTTTTTGGGACGTGGTGCCGTCTCATTGTATAGTCAGAGGTAAAATGAGGTAGAGAGCCAAAGTGTTTAGGTCTCGAATGGTGCTGGACCTCTTGGGTTATGTATGCAGGACTTTAGTCCAAACCTTCAAGATCCAGTGACCGTCAGCAGTCATTTTGGCTCAAGCCATTTTGGCTCAAGAGCCCCGTGATCAAGCTTCAGCTGCAGTTAGGGGAGTGGGTTTGTCGCCATGCTTCCTTTGCTGTGGCTGGCCGTGGTTCTGTGTCTACGCGATGGCTGCTCTAGCTACGTGTGGCACAGGCAGAGTCCGATCTTTGCGTGGGAAAAAGGTGAGAAACGTGTGCAGGAGTTGATTCCTTCTAGGGTGCCAGAGTGGGATCTTCTTTCTTCTTGGATTTTACAGTTTTGGCTGGCTTGTTACGGTTTCGTGGTCATTCACGGACCGTTTTGGCTGCGTGCTACGGGGGCTAAAATCCAGAAGATTGTGATGATCATTTGGTGTTTTGCCAAGTTTTGGTTGTTCGCTTGGACGTCTGTGAACCTTTTCCGAAAAGAGTGTCCTCAAAAGGATTCTTGTAACCTGCTTAGGTGCTGCAAAGGTCTGCAAGGCCCTGTGCTTTCAGAACTCGGTTGGGTTGCTTGTCCTGCGAGGAAGGTAAAGCACAGGCGAGTGTTGGGAGCTATGCGCCGTGGTAAATTCAGAATGTTATGTTGCTTGGCCTACAAGCATACGCATGCCATTTGTCCTTTGTCGGGTGGAGGTGGCAAAGGAAAAAGCAAGCTCAACGTTTTAGCGTCCGTTGTGCAAAAGTTGGCTTCCCAGGTTCAACATCTTGAAGCCAAGCTTGCCCCGAAAGTGGGCATGCGAGAAAAGAAGCCTTATAAAAAGAGACCCAAAAAGAAAGCTCCTCATCAAGGTGGAAATTGTATCTTCGACCAGCTGATTGGAACTTTGAAATCCTGGGACGGCAAAGATGGCAAGCCTAAGGATGACGAGGTGAAAGCCTTTTTGAAGCAGCTGCTGCGTGAAGGCCCCCAGGAGACTAATGCTCCCACTTCCAAACCTTCAAAGCCAAAGACTGAGATGGGTGGGAAAGATGAGCCATCATCAGGCCCTAGGCTGTGGTCTGATCTTTTTAAACCATCCCCACCAAACGCCTCAAAGACTTCAAAAAGCAAATTTCGATTGTTTGCAGCTGCCTGGACTGCTCCTGTCGTCCAGGCTCCTCAGCTTAAGAATCACCCAATGGATGGCAATCTGGTGATCTGCTGCAATTCGGCCCTCGAAGAGCAAGAAGCTAGGGAGTGGGTTGGAGCCCGGGGGTGCTCCCATCATGTTACTTACGTTACTTTCAATGTGCCTGATGCTGACTCGCTGGTGTTAGTTCAAGGTAGTCAAGGCCCTTGTAATGCCAAAGCCAAGATTGAAAAGTCCCATGTTGATGCGGTCAAAGATGATGAGCCGCGACCTGATGAGAAAAAAGGTCATGGGACAGTTTTCCTGCGACTCACAGTAGCCAAAGATTTTGCCGATGCTGAAATCACTGCAAAGACCGCTGTAAAGCCGGAGTGCTTGCCTGCTGTTGTTCTCTCTTCATGCAAGGACAAGGTTTTGCAGACCAAAGCAGCTTTCAATTACCCTAAGGAAATCACGTGTTTAATTCGTGTCCGCGAGGAGTGTGTTTCGAACCTCTTGAGCATCAGCCTGCCCACGGGGGTTTTCCTCAATCGTCAGAATTCCAAGCTCGTCCCTCGGTGGTTTTACCGGTCAGATTCCCAAAGCTTCAGTCAGCATTGGGTTTCCACAAAGCAAGAGTGCGATAAAGCCAAGGGTCCAGGGTCGCATGGTCTACCGGCCTTCATCAAACGCGCCTATTGGCTATATTTCTGATTCAGTTATTGACCCAAGTGCAAATACGGTCGCTCCACGTTGGTTTGTGTCAAATACTCCAGTTGGATGGTCCGAGTCTGATCTGACCTCTTGGTGCAATCAGCGTGGCTTTTTGAAACCTGATAGTGTTGTGCGGTATGGGCCCAAAAGTTGGTTTGTTCGCGCCTTCCCTCCTAAAGAGGTTGATTCTAAGGCGATGACTTTTCGAGTGGAATCACTATCGCTTTAGCTGCCCCCAAAAAGAAAGGTCGGCCAAACTGCTCAGGCGTTCCCGGAAAATCTGCTTGGGGCGCTCCAAACCCTTCGTCACGCTCTGGTGCATCTTTTGGCGCCAATCCTAGACCTGAGGCCGTTGATGTTTCTGACTGTGAGATGCAAGGTCAGTCCTGTGCAGGTGAACCCAAGACTGACGAGAAGACTGAAGTTGATTTCACTGGCACTGACACTAGTGCTCACATGGAGGATAGTGATGCAAAGAAACTTGCTCACACGCCTCCAAAGAAAACTCCAGCAAAGGCTAAACGCGCCAAGACTGGGTCAGAAGCCCCTTGGCAGTCCTTTTTCAAGCCTGTTACCAATCTCGGGGAAGGAGATTGCGCTTTTATCGCAATCGCGCAAGCTTTGACCCATTTTGCCGGTAAAGCTTCAAAGTCAAAAACTGAAGATTTCAAGCCTGCTGGTAGATTGCAGGCACAGCTTCGTCTGTTGGCCGGCCGAGAACTTGAAAAGCATCCTGCTGCTTATACGATTGCAGACCGACCGGATTTTGCTAAAAAAACCAGGACCGCTGGAACATGGGCAGAGGGCTCTTCCTTGCTCGCGCTGGCAGAAAGCACCAATTCTGACCTTCGTATTTTTGCCTTTGACAACACTTTGAAGCGGTGGGATTTCTATCGGTTGCATGCCAAACCTAATCCCAAGCACAGCCCTTGCGTGATTTATCTCAAATTGAAAGATCAGCGCTACGAGTGGCTTCGACCATCTGAAGAAATTCCTGAACAAGTTCTGCATGAGTGGCTTTTATCTGCTAAAGGCAACCCAATGACCAATTTACACCCTGCTGGAGGTAAAAGCCTTGGAGATCAAGCTGATGGCCTTGACCCCGACGCTCTTTGCCTCTTGGGCTTGAAGCATGATGTTGAAGATGAATCCCCTAGCAGAGGTTCCTCTGTTCGTGCTCGCAGCCTTTTAGGCCTTGGTCGTGTGAGCCCTTCGTCGCTTTCCCAACCTCAACAATCCGGATCTCTCCATGATTTGGGTGAGCCAGTGATTAGAGTTGACGATAATTCAGGTGAAGATGACTCGGGTCCGCTTGACATCGCACAGCGATATAAATGTAAATGTGGTTGGGTTCCTGACCCCAATGCCAAAGGCGCCAAAGAAGCAAATGGCAAGTCCCGATTGTGGGAAATCGCAAACAAGCATTGGAAAACTTGCCAAGGGGAAAATGCCCCGAAGGTTTCAAAAGCCGAAAGGCAGGCCCTTGCTCGTGAGCGTTTCCAGAAGCATGTTTCCGCTTTGGTTGACAAATCAGTCGCTTCCTTTAAAGAATTTCAAGAAAGCCTCCAAACCAAAGATCCTGAAAAAGCTCAGGCCATTTGCCAGGTTCAGCTCGACAATCCTTTCTACAGACCTAAGGGAGGATCTCACTTTTTGTGCTCTAGGTGTGGTCGAACTGCCCAGCTTTGTGTTTTTCGGAAGTTGCGTTGCCAGAAATCTCCGATTGACATCCGTCAGCAGGACTTTTGTCGCTTTGCCTGTGGTGATAAATTTGCTGACTATCAGATTGCCTGGAATGCAGAAAAGTGGAAGAAGATTGCCAAAGAGACCAGTGCAGTCCCTAAAAGGAAATCCGCCCCTGCCAAGCGCAAAGATGCTGTTGCCAAGCGTGCGCCGGTAAAATGCAAACCTAAAAGCAGCAAGTCCCGGTGACTAGGGACTGATCTCTCGGGAGGGGCTCTGCCCAGTGAGTGTGATGTGCCTTGCAGGCACATCGTGGTTTCTGTTAATGTTACTCTCCTCACCAAAGATCGTTTAATTGAAACTTTGAACTTCGCTAATCGGAATCATGCATGCATCATCGCACTTCAAGAAACAAAGCACCCTGTTGGTGGTTTCCCGTTTGCTAATCGCTTACTTGCTTTGCACGGTTGGTCAGTTCAGTGGTCTGAATCCCCTGGTTTGACTTCTTACTTTGGTGGCACTGCTTTGCTTTGGCGTAAAGCCATCGGTAGGGGTAAGCCAGTCCTTTCTGAGGACCATAGAATTTGCGCTCGTACATGGCCTCATGTCCGGGTTGCTTCTATTTATGGGCCCGCTAACGCCACCAATTTGCCTTGGTTTGCTAAGGTTCTTGAACATTTTAATGTTGATTCCACTCCCACCTTTCTTGTCGGGGATTTTAATTGGAAAGCTACTTATGAGCAGCTTCTTGGTCAGGACTGGAAAGTTTCTGAGCATGTTCCCAGTGTCATTGGATCTCAAGCTGCCCCAACACGTGTTGTGCACAACTTTCAGGACTTGCATCGCCCTCGGCTAGTTGAAGCTCTCCCAGGCATCCCTCATCATTGTGCTACTTTGTGGCAATTGCCTGCTTTACGGTATGATGCTTTAGCCCTGAGACGCCTCAGGCGTTGTGCAGTGTTTGAGCCTATACTTAAGCCAACTCCTGACCAGTGCGCAACTCTCGAAAACTTCGCCAAGCAAATTTGGAATAGTGAATCTCCTGTTGATGTTAGTTTTGACCTTCCTGATCTGGTCGATCATGAACAGCTGAACCTTAGCTTTCACAAGTGGCATTCTTGCGCTGAGCGGTTTTTCGAGCGAACTTGTGATGCCAAGTTTTGTGCCCGCAGTGTTTGGCCTGAACGTGCTAAGGGGTCGCCTCCCTCCTCTAAAGCATGGGCTACCTCTACGGGTTTTCACAATGATTCTATTGCTGTTCGTAGGTGTATGAGACTTCACCGTGCAGCTGTGGAGCAGGCTAAGTTAGATTCCGAAGGGCCCCTAACGCAGAGTCAACCCTAACGCAGAGTCAACTCAAGCATTGGCTTGCTGCTGTTAACGACAAGGTAGTTGCTTCTATCATTTTTGAAATTCCTCGTTCTCAGAGTGATGCCATCGCCACTGCATCAAAAGCCATAAAGTTCCTTTGTGATTCGGATGAGCAGAGCAAAAATGCGTCTTGGAAACAACTGTTCCGCCAGTGGAATCACGTGACTGTCAAAGCTGCAAAAGAAGTTTTGAAGCCTGATTTGAACCCTGCCTCCTGTCTCTGCCCAGGAGCTGTTGGATGATTGGAAGGCTTCTTTTGCACCTCCCCAGGACATGGATTGCGGGGATGCTTGGCTCAACGCTGCTCATGAGGCACAACTCCAGGCTTGCAATCCTGTCGAAGATTTTGTAACTTGGGAAGATTTCTTAGATGCTGCAGAAAATGCCAAAGGTTCCCCAGGTCTGGATGGCTGGACTAGTGCTGAATTTCGTTTTTTGGCACGGTCGTGTCCTTGGCTCCTTCGCAAGCTTTTCGACATTTTAAGATGCGTCGTCCTTAAATCCGATTCTATCAATCCTAATCAGTGTCCTACTGTTTTTCTTTTGTTCAGTTGGAAACTTGTAGGAATCCCAAAGCGAGCTTCTGATGAATCTCGGCCTATTGCTGTCAGTTCCATCATTTTGCGTTGTTGGAATAAAGCAGTTTTAAAAGTATTGCCTCCATTGCCTGAAGACCAGTGGGCTGGCCGCAAGGAGACCAGCGTTGCTCATGCTACTGCTGATTGGCTTGCTCACCCTGGCCAATGTGGTGCAGAGATTGATTTGCAGAAAGCTTTTGATTCAGTGAATTGGGGCGCCGCTAAGGCTGCTTTATCTTTCGGTGGAACCCCTGAATGCATCATCAATTTTCTGCAATTAGCGTGGAAAAGCCCTAGATTCGTGAATGTTTTGGGTTCATTCTGTTTGAAGCCCCTTATTCCCACTAGGTCAATTCCTCAAGGGGATCCCACGTCTCCAAATGTGCTTGCCCAGATTCTTCGACCTTGGCATGCGATCGTTCACCTCAAGCACCCCATGGTTAGAACGTGGGCATATTGTGATGACAGGTCGCTGCGGTGCTCCGGTACTTTGGAAGACCTGAATGATGCTCTCGCTTCAACTCGTCGTTTTGATGATGATGTTGGTTTCTCTGAAAATATGAAGAAACGACAAATTTGGGCAAATAATGATGTCGCCGAACACCTTGGTCTCTCGGTGTGCCCCGCCTCGCAAGATTTGCCCACTTTGCGCAATGGGTGGGATGCCATTGCCGATAATTTCCTTTTCTTGCAAAGATTCCTGGTGGCATCATGCCCCGCGAGAATGCCGTCCGTATTTTCTTCAAAAGCAAATCCGTATTTTCTTCAAAAGCAAATGGACCTGGCCGGTGCCTTTCATTGCACCCCCACCTGTTTCGTTTGTGAGTAAGCTTTTTCACCAACTTTTGATGCTCTTGGTGGTGTAGTGGCAGGTTTTGGGCTGATAGAATTGACATTCATCCAATCTTTGGCTTGGCCTGTGCAGCTGTGTTGTCTGCGCACCGCTTTCATAACCCACCTCCAAATGCTGTTTTCCGCGCAGTTAAGTTTTACCTTGAACTCTTGGATTTGCATCTTGTGTCTTGGGATAATAGGGGCCTGTACTTTTCAGTTAACCCTCAAAATCAAAATTTGAGCCGTTTCGTTAGTGCGTATGGTGAATCCATCAAACTCATGCCAGAAGGTGTTCCACCTCATGTCCTTCGGGTTGCTGCTAGACACAAAAGCCTTTTGCAGATCCGGCCTTCTCGATTGGACTCTGAAGATTTCAGTAACATAGATGTTGAGGCTTCGTCCCACCCTCTATGGTCAACGTGGCGAGCAAAGCTTTCTCGCAAAAACCTTATTGTTCTTAATATTTATCGGGGTGGTGCGATCCAGACCCCTACAAGAGGAGGGTATAGCCATGATCCTTCTTGCCCTTTCTGCAATGCGCAGCTCGCCTCCATGCGGCATTTTTGGGCATTGTGCCCCAAGTTCAGAGCAAAAAGAGATTTTCTTCAGGGTTTATTTCAAATCCCTTCTGGTTGGTGGGCACTTCAGCCTCGCGTCACGTCCAAAAGTGGTTGGGTTGTGCTTTCTGCAGCCGATTCGGCTGTGCAAAGAGCCAAATGCCAGATTGCTGCTTGTGAGCTTGCTTTCGAAATCAACGATGCTTTGCGTCCCATTTCTTCTACTCCTTAGGTTCTTTTCCGGGTTCCGCCTGGATTGTTTTCATTTGCCCTCGGGCGCTTGCATCTTGTGACAAGGTTTTCTTTCCTTGCCTTTGATCCGTGCAAAGCCCGGTACAAACCGGGGTGCGTCTAACTACCTACGGGCTTAGGTTGGCGCATGCATTGTTTTTTTTGACCTTCGGCGGGGACTTCAACCAGAGCTTAGAAGGTGTCACGTTGCCAAGCAGCCTGAAGACTTTGACCTTCGGCTACAACTTTAACCAGAGCTTTCAAGGTCTCACCTTGCCAAAGAGCCTGCAGACTTTGACCTTCGGCACTGAGTTTAACCAGAGCTTGGAAGGTCACCTTGCCAAGCAGCCTGCAGGCTTTGACCTTCGGGCGGGAGTTCAACCAGAGCGGGGAAGGTGTCACCTTTCCAAGCAGCCTGCAGACTTTGACTATCCAGAGCTTGGAAAGTGTCACTTTGCCAAGCAAGCTTGAGACTTTGATATTCGACTATTGCTTCAACCCCCAGAGCTTGCGCAAAGTGTCACCTTGCCAAGCAACCTGCAGGCTTTGAGCTTGGGCAGGAAATTCAACAAGAGCTTGAAAGGCGTCACCTTGCCCAGCAGCCTGCAGAACTTGACCTTCGGGTGGGAGTTCAACCGCAGCCTGCAGACTTTGACCTTCAGCTCCTTTGGCTCTCACTTTAATCAAAGCTTGAAAGGCGTCACCTTGCCAAGCAGCTTGCAGACTTTGACATTCGGCTACAAATTTAACAAGAGCTTGCAAGGTGTCACCTTGCCAAACAGCCTGCAGACATTGACCTTCGGCAGGGAGTTTAACCAGAGCTTGGAAGGTGTCACCTTGCCAAGCAGCCTTCAGATTTTGACCTTCGGCGGGGAATTCAACCAGAGCTTGGAAGGTGTCACCCTGCCCAGCAGCCTGCAGACTTTGATCTTTGGCCTTGATTTTAACCAGAGCTTGCAATGTGTGACCTTCCCAAGCATCCTGCAGACTTTGACCTTCGACGGGAAGTTCAACCAAAGCTTAGAAGGTGTGACCTTGCCAACCAGCCTGCAGGCTTTGACCTTGGGCAGGGATTTTAACCAGAGCTTGCAAGGTGTCACCTTGCCAAGCAGCCTGCAGATTTTGACCTTCGGCTGGAAGTTCAACCAGACCTTGAAAGGCGTCACCCTGCCCAGCAGCCTGCTGACTTTGATCTTTGGCCTTGAGTTCAACCAGAGCTTGGAATGTGTCACCTTGCCAAACAGCCTGCAATCCTTGACCTTCAGCAGCTGGTTGGAGGGGTTGGAGACATTGCCATTTAGTTTGCGTCACCTTGGTTGCGAGTCCTTTGAGATCTGTCTTCACTGAGGTGAATGAAATTGTGTGGTGTCATTTTCACCCAGTCTCACAATGGCCTAGGCCATGTTGTTTTTCATTCTTGATTTGCCTCAAGGGTGTGTCTGTTTTTTGATATACCAGCCACAAGCTGAGAAAGCCTCCTCTCAGCCATTTCCTCCTCTGTCGCTGCAGCATGCTACAGCTACGTGACCCCCATATGTGACCGGCAGTAACTCCGTCTCAAACACCTATCATGAACAACATCTTCTCGTCTGCTACTAGAGGCCCGGGTTTCATATTTGATTTATGCGATCTTATACGTATATTTTGTACACGACTCCATCATGGGTCTGTGGTTTCACTCGGTTCTGTGCTCTCCGTGAAGCGATTGGTCCCTCGAAAGGATTGCAGCTTGCGACTGGGCGGCCGAAGCTGGCCTTGACGGGACTTTTCTGCGAGGATAAAGGGGACATGTCAAACGGCTGAGTCGCGCGTGACGGCGCGACCGAGTCCACCCACCGAGCCGACGGGTTCCGCTGACCTGAACGAAAAGCAACAAGCGAACTCACCCCAAAAAATCCCAAAACGAACTTTCCAACGCTCCACCCTAGGGAAAACGAGTTTTCAACGTGACATCAACTGAAGAAAGGTCAACATGTTAAACCGAAGGCATCCACCAGTATCAAAGTTTTAGGTCTGAAGTTCTTTGAAGATAGGGACTCTCGGCTTCTCAAAAGCCAATAATAGCCGCTCGGCTGATCGGCCTGCCAAAGCTCGGCCACCGAAAAGCTATGAAAGAATTTGGACAGACATGTTGGTTCCGCACTCTGCATCTAGGATCCATGTTGAGGCGTCTTAGAAGATTTCTGTAAGTTCAGTGAGGCACAGCCCCTCTGAATGCCCAAGTCAAAATTTCAGCCAGGAATCACCACGGCAACATTTGGACCAGCCAGTTCCACACCCCAAAAAGCACTTAGAACATCACTTAGCGCATCACTTGATTCATATATTTTCTGTGACTCCATTCCCCCGGCCCCAATTCACGACCTTTTGGCGCCAGCACCGTTTGAGGTGGGCGCCGGTGCCGGCAGGTGAAGCTAAGGACCGGTCGAGACCGTCGGGTGGGGCGGGCCTTCCGAGATGGTCGTGCGCTTCTCTTTTCCGTCCTTCATTCTTTTCAAGACCCGTTCTTTTTTGGGCGCTTGAAGAATTGAAGAAGATTCTGAAGAATTGAAACCGACCACACGTCGGAAGAGCATGCGCTGCTAATCCACGCTGCTAAATCCAGGACGAAGCAGAGCCATGCCGCTGCGTCCTGCAGAGCCATGCGCAGCCATGTGCAGCCCAGAATCATGACGTTTGTGCCTGCCCCAAGTGTGGTGCATTTCGGGTGAAATTTGCAGCGACACCAAGGAAGCGTTCCTTTTTTTGGCGTGATGAGGGTCGAGAACGTGGAATTTTGCCAGTGCATGTGTCATGATCCAAACCAGAAGGTATTTGTCGTTCATACTGACTCTATAGTTTCTGGGTCAGCTTCAGCAAAGTAGAATGTTTATATTATATATTCTTCAAATGATTTAAGTAGAGTAACTCACCGACCGTGGCTACTCTCGGAACGACTGTGGCTACTCGCCGACAGCGGCGACGCGTCAGTGGACCTTGTGGCCCCCAGTGACTCCGCCATGGGCGCCAGCGCCACTGGCCACGGCAACCTGGTAGAGGAGCCGGACGACGAAACGCTGCTGAGTTTTCTTTGTGAAGATGTGGACCGCGCGGAGAGACTGCTGAGCCGGGCAGAGCGTCTGATGCTGCTTGGACTGAAGAGGGAAACCTTTTAGGAAGTGGCCTCCGGTTCACTGTAGCCAGAATTGGCGATTGTCACCTTTGGCCGTCGCCCAGAATGCTCTACCCGAGGCCACGGGCGAAAGCCCGGGTGGCCACGAGTCTGGCCGCGGAGAAGCCAAGCGTTTCGGGCGAGTCTGGCCGCAGGTTGATTATCCATGGGGTGGATGGGTCGACATTTCACCTTCCCGTGGACGATGCTGCGACAGTTCCATGGACATTTGAATTTGTTGGGTTAAGTTGTCTAATATTTTGTTCGTGTGTACGTTCGTGTCGAAGCGAGGTTTGTAAGTAGATGATATGACGACTGCACCCAAACCAAGGTGGATGATCTCTCCAAGACCATCACGGCCAAATGCGGTGCCAAACCAGGCCACCGACTGGTGCTCACCTCCGGTGGCAACGTCTTGGATGATTCCAAGCCGCTCTTGAAGCAGCTTTGTGGTGAAGAGATCACCTACGTGATGCAGCGAGTCTCTGCAGGAGAAGCCGCAGTGAGCTTGCTGCGTGCGACGAAAGAAAGCAGAAACCATCTGCCAAGCAGCCTGCAGACCCTGACCTTCGGATACGGCTTGAACCAGATCTTGCAAGGAGTCACTTTGCCAAGCAGGCTGCACACGTTGACCTTCGGTGGAGAGTTCAAGGAGAGCTTGGAAGATGTCACCTTGCCCAGCAGCCTGCAGACTTTGACCTTCGGCGAGAGGTTCAACCAGAGCTTGAAAGGT